TTAATTTGGCTTTATTTTAATTTTATACATAAGTCAAGACCATGTATATTACACTTATTTCATTTGACTCGTTCTTTCGCATTCACCATTCACGAAGACTTTTGCGTTTGGATATGGGTGTTTAGGGAATTTCGGTCGTCATAATGGATTTCGCCGAATCGTGGTCAAGTCGGTTCTCTTCCAGAAATTTTTCCTTTCTTTGATTCTCTCTGAAAACCTAGAATTTCTAGACGAGAGTTCCCACGTCTCTCAACAACTTGTTTAGATCAGATGGAACGCCTCAGATACGACTGGGGCCAGCTTTCAGACCCGGAAAGGTTCTTGTCACGATGTGATATTGAACATGGGCTTTCAACATATCGTACGTCGTCTCTGTTTGTGTGCTATTCGCGCAAGTTGCTATGGAAATGATAGTCACCTAGAAAAAAAACATATAAACGACCTCATATCCACTAGCAAAGGACAGTTCAAAGAACATATTGACTTCTAGACCAATAACAAGGCTAACTAAAGGTAGTTCACAGGACTAACTTTCTGTTAACCCCGACATTGAACAAGGATTCGTTGTTTTCTTCATAAATACGGCACAGGCTGTCCCTATAGTTTTTATTTATAAAATCCGACATTACGGCGGATTTTGAATTGGTTGAGTCTGGAAAGGGCAAGTTTATTGCAATCTAGTTGGCAAAACACGTTCATAATCTCAACAGAGAAGTCATCACGAAGCCTATATTTCGATCGCATTGGAAACAATGCAGTCTCTTCACACATTCACCGCTTCCTATGAGTCTTCCACATGGAGACCATCGTATTGAGTTCACATGGAAAGCTAATGTGCGTTTCTTCCTAAAACAACAGTCTGAGAGTAAATCCCAGGACCGATTTTCTCTTAACCTCGGCAGTGATCAGTAATTCACTGCTTTCCTTGATGAGCAGATACGAGGTTGTTATTCCGTATTGCGCGTCAGTTTGACTCTTCCGAGAACCCTAAGAAAGAGACATTATCCGAAACGTCAGCCTTTTTGTCAGTAAAGAATAAAGTGACAAAATCTTGTTTGCTCATTAAGAGAACAATTTATCTTGGTGGCATAATAAACAGTGTAGCAGCAACCTTATGTGCACTTATCAAGAAAATAACGCAATATATAGCTTTTTAGGTTCAAAAAGGAACTGAAGATTCAATTTGGAAAACGTTTGCACCTTCCTTGCAACGGCTCTTTTTAAATTTTAAATACACCAAGCACCAACGCGGCAAAGATGTAGCGTAACACAACGCAGTTGTGAGAATTCCCACAGATGCGCGATATGGGACAGTAGATTGGCGAACAGTACTCGTATCACACGTGAAAAATCGCTGAAAAACGAAAAGATGGAATACTGTATCAATTCCGGGTTATGGTTTAGGTATCCAGGTGCCGCATTTCTGAGGACTTCTCGCCTCTCTCCTTACGTGTAAGGATACAGTGAAAATCTGCAGCTCTTTCACTTTCTAGTAGCAACAAATATAATACGGGAAGAGGGTACGACAGTACACCAATCCCAGTTTAGAATTGAAGCACGGAAATGTTGCGTTTTTACTAGCTTCTCAAGGACGGCGCTTTCACTCGGGGAAAGCGTTTTAGCATACAGTAAATTCAAGGAACAATTCAAATTTTCTATAACAAATGGTCTAATGCATTCCAGTTCTGTGTTGAGCTCTAACCTAAATGTGACGAGAATATACGTATCCAAACATGCGTGTAATGATAGTAGAAATATATGAAACAATTCTCGCATGCAAGCTTCTTCTTCTTCCAAGGTGCAGTTGATTCCATAAGTCGCACGAAATAACATTACTCTCCTTAAGACTTCATTCAAAATGCACTATTAACAATATTGAAAAAATACAGAATACCACTTAATACACAAGGCTTGATATACAATTTACCTTAGGAAGCTAACATGTGATACAGAGATCAAATCAAACACATGCCTACTATTAATGGCAGTATAACAATACGACATTGTGGGAAAAATCTGCAAAGAATTTAACAAAGCTCAAAACTCATGAGTAAACACAGTAGAATACGCAGGAAAACAAGTGTCTGTAGTAATCAGATGTGACAGCTCAAAAGAGATCAATCATTTATAAAGTATTTTCTTCTCAAACCTACCACTCTGTCTATATTCTTGCTGAGTAAACACAAAGTGTTATTCTATCCTTTATTCAAGAACAGGATGACGTTTCGGCGGATTTTGCTTTCTACAGAGCGTGGAAAAGTTAAATTGACCGCAATCTATCCAGCCAAACGCTTCCGTAACCAAACAGTGAAACGGTGATTGCATGCGTTCATGTACAGCTTATGTGATCTCTTGAAAAGCGTGCGGAGACGAATACATTGACCAAACGGATAGACCACTTTGCGTCCGTATAAAAGGACACCTAGTCGGTAAACTTAAAGTTAAACCAAGTATCCCACTAGGCACGCATAGGACCCTGGGACATAACGGGGAAGATTTTGAAGTAGAAGTGACGATCCTCGCACAGGAGTCGAAAGCACAAGAGTGCAAAATTCTCGAGACCTACTGGATACATTCCAAGAATCCGAAAACGGACCGCAGCGGGAAATGCCTAATAATCACGCATGATATTAGGTATTATATAAACCTGTTATACTGATAGGATGAACGCATTACGCTTCCATGTGAACTCTGTGCGCTTGCGTTGTTTTCTTGTTCAGCAATCACGAGGTTTTTAAACAGCATGCATTTACTTCCATAGAAAATCCTGGGAACTATTACAATCTGTGCGCTTGTTCTCCACATCTTCAATGGAAGTCTCACAGAAAGCGGTGAGTTCACAAAAAAGCTGTTCTGCGTTCAAAGTCATTGAAATCTTGGTTTATCATTTTCTCTGTTTGGTTATGGAAGTGTTTAGCTGGCTAGATCGCGGTCAACTTGAACATTCCAGGATCTGAAAAGACCAAATCTGCCGAAACGTGATTACTCAACAAGAGTATAAAGAATCATCTGGTCATTGCCGAAGTTAGCAGAAAGTCGGTCGTGGGAATTACTCTCTTTCAAAGCCATGCCGTCAACTAATGTGGTAGTGGTGCATTTCAATGCCGAAATTACCCACAAACAACGAAGAGGTACAAGAATGGTAATAATAGTAATAGTAATAGTAATAGTAATAATAATAATAACATTAATAATAATAATAATAATAGCATTAATAATAATGTTTTAACGTTTTGTTTTCTGCCTTCTATAATTTTCATGGGAGGCAAATAGCTGAGAGACATGCGAAACAAAGGACCCGCATGGTGTGGTGGTGAACGCGTTACTCCCCGGAAAGGATAATAGCGCGTTCGTTCCCCACCATAGACACCTGCGGTCCAGAGTTTTGCAAATATCTCAGCAATGTTGTGGTTGTATTAATAATAATAATAATAATAGTAATAACAATAATAATAATAATATTTCGAAGCCGACTTTCCCTAAACCTCGGTATCACTAATCAATATGTATTCTTTCTTTGATGAGCTTACACGAGGTTGATGATGATGTTTATTTTCGGCTAACGTTTCGACGACTTCGTCTTCCTCTTCGGTTTGGAAATATTACTACGCTTTGTGCTAGCTGATAACAACACCGACTTCTGCACGATGTGCGCAATGATGTATGTCCGGAAGAAAAACAAGTTGTTATCACCGGACATTATCATTATATCGACCATCAGCATCGTGTATAAAAGGGCATCACTGAGTAGGGATGCCTCATTCGAGGGGATGGCTCACTGAAGAAGACCTAACTCGACACGAAGGCGAAGCTGCCACGTTGAGACGAATAACGAGCGAGGACCATCGACTCGGATCATCGGCTCTAAGGAAGACGAAGATGTCGAAACGTTAGCCGAAAATAAACATCATTATCAACCTCGTGTAAGCTCATCAAAGAAAGAATACATATTGATTAATAATAATAATAATAATAATAATAATAATGATAATAATAATAATAATAAACAAAGCACTATCAAATCAGCAAACAGTACTTCGCTCACTGGTATCCTTCTGTTCACCACCCGTTGTCTCATCTTCCTCATCGTAGTTCTTCGTCAAGATCCCGTTTTCATGTTTCTCTAAAATTTCCATCGCCTGAGTTGCTCTCTTTTTCTTTCTCATTTGTTCTTCGCTTTCATTCTGTACTGCACATGTTTCTAGTGTCTTCGGATTGATACAGAAATGAAGTATTCTTATCGTATTGTTTTGGAACAAAGAAAAATGGTTATTTCTAACCCAACAAGTCTACAATTTCTCCCACTCTGCTCCAAAGTGACATCCTGACTTGTGAATAATATAAAATCCTCGTTATTTTGTTTCTCTGACCTCCTCTGAATTGGATGAAAAAATTACATAATAAAAATTATTGTGTGAACACCATGAATACGATAACAAATTTTCCTGCTCCATGTAAAAGAATTTATGAACGATGTGCGAATATAACGACGTAACGAAGCTATGTGATAGGAAGCTGACCTTATAACCCCTACCTGAGCTCTAGCATCATTTTCCTAGAAAGAATGTAGCCTCCACAAACTAAATATGGACCATCGAAGAATCATTCCCAAATAAGTGATCTTGCGTCGCCCAATTGCAGTGTTTCTACACAGTTAGCTCTCAAAAGACATGGTGAGACATTTTTCGATAGCGCCAAGGATCCTAATTCATATTTTCAAGTTTCCGACAACAATTTGGTTTGCTTGGTTACAATGAGCTCATAGTTTTGGCAATTACTGCCAGCACCTCTATTTCTTTCTTTAAGACGATGTTAGACGAAATTCGCGTCTCTTTGATAAATTAAATCTACCTTCATTTGGAAATTGAGCCGATCCTCCTTTAATGCCCTTCAGAGTCAGTAAAAACTGACTCTGAAGTGCTTCACGTAGATCACTCTGTCTTTTTGGACACTTAAATAAAGGCAGACATAAATAAAGGTTATATTAAGCTAATGGCTCTTCATAAACGAGGGTCAGACATCTTCTTGCGATAATTGTACGATTCCTCAGGATTGAAAATCCCGACAAGCTCATCGGCAATCGCTATAATTGCATGTACCTAGAATGAAAGAAAAGTGCGTGGACCGCAAAATAGGAGAGAAAGAATTGACATCTATATGGGACAGCAATTCGAATGAAATATGGATTTTTTTTAGTACCAACCCCTTCCTTGAATGGTTTCTCAAGCACGATTAACAACTTCCATTCTACCATTACCGGAACACTTTTCACGTTGTTCAACACGTGGAAAAGTTTTTTCTTCTTAAAATATGTGTCGCCACGAGCTACCTAAGTTTGCTCACGTGTGGACCAATTTTCACAAAAGTTAACGAAAGAAGTGAAAATTTAGCATATAATGATCGATGCTGTTATATGCGATTAATGTTATTTCAGTGATGTTGGAAAATATCCTGGGCTGATTAGTATTAAGCATGTATCCTGAAATGAAGGAATCTAGCCCCAACAGTATTTCAAAATGCTGACCAAATCGATTGGCATTTGAATCGCACTGAAATGGTCAGTGAGCGTTTGAACGAGTCTTTCCCGCTCTGCAGCGCCCTGTGAGTGAAGCGGAAGCAGACGCGCTGTCAACTTGCAACAGTGACCGCATTCTCTTGGTACGGCCGTCGCCACCTCATCCACAAGTAGTAACGCTAAATGATATAACAAAATATAAACAACTCTCAAATCTCATAATTAACTGGGTAAAAAACTAACCATAACCTGTCTTATAATCCTTGGATCGTACCTCTGTGTATCACCTGCGTCACCTGCAGTCCAGCTACTCGTCTTATGACTCAAGCGGGCGCCACTAAATGCTCTATTATTCCCTGTCGAGCGCAACAGTAGCCCAAAGGGTTCCGCTCGCTCAAGGAACTCGTCGAACATTCCTCGACTGCTTGGCGTAGAGAACGGCACCATTGATTTTTGATATTTAACGCAGGTCGGAGCTTCGGATCCCTCCCTTATTTGGGTGACAAAGGGCACTCCTAGCAGCGTCCTTTCGACTGCACGTTCAATAACCTTAAGTGATCTTTCATCCTGCTTACGCAGCGACCAAGTTTCTGACGCTTACGTCAGAGCAAAAAGTACCGTTGAGTCGAAAAGGTGAGCACGGAGTCGGGTGTTCTTTGTTCTCTTCACCACATCTCCGATGCTTTTGAATGCTCTCCAAGCCGCTCGTTTCCTTTTGCTCAGCTCTGGAGCTAGGTCGTTCATCGTATTGATTTCCCCACCTAGACAGACATAACTAGAGCGTTCGGAGACATTCGTTCCGTTGAGCGTGAATGACGCATACGAAACCAATCCATTCCTCATAAACGTCGCTTTTGCGAGATTTAGTAGAAGACCAATCTTTCCACAGGCTTTATCAAAGTCCGTTCTTCTCGGATAATGTTTGCTGTTATAAGGACGATGTCATCAGCTAAGCGAAGGTGATGTAGTTGACGGTCATCGATTTTCGCTCCATGTTATCTCATTTCAATTTTTGCATGACGTTCTAGATGGTGGTGCTAAATAATTTTGGCGAGATGGTGTCGCCTTGCCTATCCCCATTTCTGAAGTCGACGTTAATATCGCCGTAGAATGGTGACGTCTTGGTTGTGGAATTTTTGTGCAGCTCACGAAAGATCATTATGTAATTATTAGGAACTCCTTGACTGTCAAGGGTTTCCACGACTGATTCTAACTCAATTGAGTCAACGCCCTTCTTTAAATCAATAAAAGTGAGACAGGGAGCAGTCTTTTATACTCTCACAATACTTCACCGAGTCCCGTCATCGTGTAGACGCGGTCCATCATGTTAAATCCACCCTGCTTGCTCAAATGGCTGCCCTTTGTTCAGTGTTCTGTCAACCCTGTTTAGGATGACTCGAGTGAAAAGCTTGTAGACGGTAGACAGCAAGCAGATTGGGCGGTAGTTGCCGATATCGTGGAAGTCACCGCTCTTGAATATTAGAACCGTCTTGCTGGTCCTCCATTGAGTAGGGACATTGCATTCGGGCAGATAACGTGTCAAGAGCCGAGCCAGGGCGTTTACGAAAACTGTCGGAAGGTCCTTCAGGTGTATAACTTTTATCCCATCCGGACCCGGTGCTGTTCGGTTTCTCAACGACGAGATGATATGTCGGATTTCGAAAGAGAGAACCAGTGGTATAGCATATCCGTACTCCTTTGTTTCAAACTATGGGAGGTGGACGTGGCTATCGAAGAAACCTGAGTGGTGTCCGTGAATGATTTTCTCCAGTGCCTTCCTGGACTATGTCACTGTTACGTTTGGGCGCGAGAGTGCAATCATTTTGGTTTTCCAATTGGCAAAGTGGGATTTGCGAATGCTTTTCTCAGCGTTCCCAGCTTCCGCCCTTACTGCTGCCCTTCTCTCTTTACGTTCTTCTTTTATCGCCTGTCTGCACTGTTTTGCAAATTCGGACGTTAGTTTGTGGTTACCTACAGCTCGTGCGTTTCCACGCTGTCGTATTAGCTCGAGCTGGGTACAGACGTCTCTTGGTGACTTTCACACTCTCAGCCTTCATGGCGTTAACGTGAAGATGTTGATTGAGCCGATCGTATTCTGCGTCGATGTTATTGACAACGGCATCTTCCCAACAGCAAACTAATGAGTTGAATAGGTCCCAATTTATAGTGGTTTTGGGATCTCGTCATTTGAATTTAGCGGCATTTTGTCTTTTCTGCGAGAAATGGAATCTTGCACGAAGGAGACGGTGTTCTGATCCCGTGTAGAATTTTGCGACAACAGCGACATCGGTTGGCAGAACCTTCGGTTTACTATGATGTGGTCTATTTCGTTATGGTGCTTTTCACTGGAAGACTCCCACGTTCAGCGTTGAGGGGTGGAGCTTGTGGAATTGTGAGTTACCATGGATGGTCATAGTCGTCGTCATAAACTCAGAAAACCGCTCACCCTGTTCACTCCATTCTAATCCGCTGGTTCCAATATGACGTTTTTAAGACGATCATCTTAGTCCAATCAGCGTTGGAATCTCCAATGATGAGACCTTGAAGAATGTATGGTCTTCCCTGTAGAACTGCGCCAAGTCGATATGGAAATTGCCAGTTACCATGTATGATCGTGGGCGTCATGTAAACTTCGAGTGCCGCTCATTATGTTAGTTCCATTCTATTCCGTGGGTGCCAATGTGACGTTCTTCAGACGATATTCTTGAACCATTCTCAGCGTCAAAATCTCCAATGACCCTAATGAATGTATGGTCTTCTCTGTGGAGGCTCTCCAAGTCCATATGGAACGCTTCGACTTCTTTTCCGTCATAGTTTGATGTCGGCACATAAGCGGCAATGATTGTCAAATCCGGCATTGATGCAGATCTTTTTAATCGTAAACGTCCGATTCGGGTTGTTAGTTGTTCGAGTGAACCGATGTTCATGGACAAGCTCATGTTGACGATAACGCCGATGCCGCCGGCTCCTCTACTGTCGCATGCTCCGAGGAACAGTTCTTCCTCGGTGTCATAGACTGCATTGAATGGTTGGCGTTGTCTCATTCGGCCACGCCGATGACGTTGTACCTTATCCTTCCTGCTTGCATGAGCAAGTCTTCTATTGAAAACTTGGATGCAAGTGTACACGCGTTGCACGTAATGATCGTCACCTTAGTACTTCGCGATCCAGGCAGCTCCTATTGGGGCTGAGATTTTAGCAGACCTTCCGTACTCGTCTAACCGAACGATACCAAATTGAGGGCTCTTTCGAGGTTAGAGGAACGAGGCCCGTTTTTTTTTACTGTGTTTAGCATTTTGATACCCATGTATGGCTTATTGGACTCTGGACGTAGGGGCTGGCTATACTCACGGGTAGCTTCCCAGCCTTTTCCAGAATGGATATTGAGCTTATTTGTATGAGAAGGCTCCTAACCGCATCCGACATACTTCCTTGCCACTTGATTGCAGGTTTTTGACCGAACTAAGTCATAGAATACAATCCGCAGAGACAACAACGCGCCCACACACGCGTGCATGAATACGCCTCGTAAATACGGACAGTGTATGTCAAATGGTGAACAAGCAGAAACAGGGTATCCATCCCATGGAGCCACCCCCGTCTTAGGAAAATATACGGTCTATTTTGGTCCGCGATTAACCCCTATCCGCAACCTTGGAACGCGGTAAAATTTAGGTGAAAGATAAGGGTCAAACCGTTCTATGCTGATCAGAAAGGTGCCTGAAAACGACTTAGCTGACTAACCCATAGGCAGCTGGATGCCGATTTGCTCTATACAGACTTCCGAACGCATACCGAAGCCTTAATACGTGTTTTTGTACCTTAAAACAACCGTAGTACCAACACCTGCCAGTTTGCAAGTAGTTTGGAATTCATGAAAAGGAGGCACTGGATTAAAACAATGACGGCGTACATTCCAGAACGCCTCTGAGCATTGCGCTACACCTGGCCTTCCTATGGAGAAATCGATTCCAAAGTTGTTTAGTGGAAATGAAACACTTACTTCTAACACTCGTAAATCGCTGTATAGGTTAAATATGCATGCAATCATTTCTACGACACTTGGCGGAGTTATTACATCTCCCGTCCTTACGAGATAAACCAACGCTCAACGCTTTATCATTCTGATGATAGGATAGAAGCCTGTTCGAATGAATATTGAATCCTGCTCCCAGTTTTTTCTTCGAAACCAATTTCCTCCATCAAATGAAGGCTATGTCACTGATAACACCGAGCACCTGCTTTGACAACATCGGTGTTGACAATGAATAAATGTGGAACTGAACGACTTCATCTACGAGAAAACACCTCATAACTTCATTGAACTCACCAAAAACTAGCTTTAACAGTTGGAGACCAAATTTGTTTTCTCGAAAACTGCCCACGACCTTAGGACATCAAGACTACTTGAGAAGTTGAGAATTTGAACTTAGGCAAAGAACTTTGCCCTATCTAGTTTGCTTTTATAAGCAAACACGAGGCCGGTATTTTTTTGCCTGTTAAAGAGATGCAGTGAATTATCAATTAATACCAAGGTTAAAAGGAAGTCGGTTTTGGGAGTTTGCTCTATCCAATCCTGAATAAACACGGTTTTACAAAAACTCTGTTTTATCCTCACAACTTATTAGGATGAAAACTTCTTGTAAATTGAGGTAGAAATTTGAATTCTTGAGATCCACGGTGCAAGACCATCAGTCGAAAACATCAGCGATGCATTTCGTCACGTTATGTTGCACAAAATCCACCTTGTTAACTGCCATGTTCGGAATAAAAACCTCGACAGGAAAGAGTGACGAGAACTCTTTTAAGTTCCATAGAAAAAATTAACGCAGTTGAGTAAGAAAACTTTCCTCCTGTTGGAAAAAATCTGTATGCCCTGTGGTCTTAAAAGTGATCACTATTCTCTTCGTGCATAGAAGGAGATCAATTCATGTCGGACTCTAGGCGTTAAGGTTATAAAATAAAAACACCCGATAATGTAAATCTGCACTTTTCTCTTCGCTTCCCAGATGTTTCGTTTCAAACTGGCTCTTCAGCGCCAGGCTCTTCTTAGACCTGTTTAGGATCGAAGTAAAATGGCATGCATTGCAACCATCCAAAATCAGATGGGCACATGACATTATCAATTCTCGGCAACTGTTGCGCTTGTGGGCAAATTCCATTGTCTCATAAAAGCATACATCTTCTTAACTGCATGAATTACTTTTGACAAAGAACACTGATGACAAATGTTTCTAGTTTTTCTGTCTAATCGATCGAAGTCGATCTTTCAACTTATGAATTGAATTTGAATTTTTGGTGAATTTGAAATTTATAGATCATTTGGGATATTTCTACTTCACAGTGGTGTGTTTCATTTCAGCGCCTAACGCTTTAAGCTAGTCATTGATGTCAACATATTTGGTGTGGAAAGACTGGGCAAGTTCTACTTGTTCGCCTTTCCGGCTTTGGAAAGCGGTAATCTACAAGGGGAAAAAACTACTATATCCTTCACCAAGGACTAACATGCTGCACTGACAATGCTGCCATCGTTTAGAACCTCAATGAAAATCACTCCAGCAAAGATTTTCCTCAGATGTCTTTGCAAGGGAGAAATGTCTTTGCTATTACCCAAGATTTCCAATAAATCTTCATCTTCCACGAAGTAAAACCTAAACAAAAACGAATCCGAAATGACATAGCTTGATAAGCTTACCAGCAAAGATGACCTCCTCGCCTCCACTTGTTCACCAAGGGCCTTCCGAAATTTGGATAACGCATCTGCGAACCTATCAAGCAGACGTTGAGTTCTTCGTATTCCGACTATATCAAGAATATGTGGCGACTGTGCGACATCCCTCATCAATGCCAGAAACACCGTGGAAATGCTATAATTTTCACATACCTAAAGAATACAAGGAACAGGAGCACACATCAGTGCTCGTCCTTGCCACAAACTGGATCATAAACGTTGGCTCACAACTTGCCCAATGCCGATTTCACTTATGACTTGAATTCCTACTGGTACAAACAACGAAGGTGAATACATAAATGACTCTCGTCTCTCTGGAAATCAGCTTATTCCTTTTTTTCTTCAACTGAAAGCAATCGAAGTACTGGCACCGAAGAAACCTCTCCAAATTACTTGCAGTACGGTGAAAGTTTCGCTGCAGTCAGCGAGTTTTAGTAAACCTTTCATTTCGTCAATAGTTCATAACGTCCTTTGGTCAGCCTTGTCTGGTTCTCATAGTTTACCAACTCAACATCACAGCACTGCCAAAAGTCTTTCATCCAAAATGATTTCGGAAACATTATAGTTTAAAGTCTAGAAATGTACAAAGCTCGAAAAACACTCTAAATATAAACAATGAAGTTTCTCCTAAATGGGCAACACACCTTTTTCAGAAACTCCTCGTGGGCAAGCTCACCTTGCGCAACGAGAAGAATTCGCTTGATGGCGTGTTCGTGACGTTGAAGATCGACATCCCAGATTTCGTGTTAAGGATTTAAAAAATTTGATTTAAAGAGCCAAAATTTTTTAAATTAAACATAACTTGAGCATTTTAAGACAGTAGCCTCCCAACTGTTTGCCGTCTCATAGTGGCTGAAACGTGTTCGTTGGAGTCGGGCTGAAATGCAAGAGGATTCATCACCCCAGCAGTGTCTCTCATGCTAGGAGTCCAGCGTTTCCATCGAGAAGCGCGGCTAAGAGTAAACCAATATCAGGATCCACCACTATCCTGGTATCAAACTAGTCGAATAATGGCAAATCTCCCTCAGATCAACAAGGGCGGCGACTGCCTGTGGTGGTGACGACCTGGAGGCAGACTTTGGCTGCGCTCCAACTCCAGGAAACCGCACGAGTTAAACGAGCAGAACTCCGAAAAAAATGGAAATTATGCTAGGGCTCACGCAACCAGTGAAGAAGGGTCATCCAATTATCTAAGTGAGTGAGCAAGACAGAAGTACAGGGTACGAACCTATCCTAGAGTAAGCCCAGAAATATTCCAATTCGTTCGAAATTCCGCTATCATTTGACTCCACTGAGATTTTTTAAGTGCGTTTGATTTCAGCTGCATCACTAGCATATTAACCTAAAAATTGAAAAAAGACTGAGGAGCGAATAAGATGAAACACTATGTTAAACTACTTTTAAGTGGTTGTTCATCATCTGTTTCCCATATGCATAACTTTTGTAGCTCTTTTGTAGCATATTTAACAGCTAAGTGCTTTAGCTAACCCATAAAGTCATCGAATGATTGTTGCGATCTCCGCGGTTGCACCGATAACCAAGTCTTTTGTTTAAATACATGTGAACTTTTTGTGAATAACAGAAGGAACACTTATGATATGAAAAACCTGGTAATAAGAACATAAACAACAAAATAGATGAAAAAATAATCAAAAGTTTCTTCCACTTATCAGCTGGTCAACTGAAGTGTACACCGATAGAAAACCTTGCTACACCCCTTTTAGGTCAGCCAGCTCTTCTACAGCGACGGCAGGTTTATCGGCATTCAGCGGGACACCAGTTGGATTGGCTATGTTAAGTACTTGGCGTCCTTTCCTCATTTTTTCCCGATCCTAAAACATTTGAAACTGAAGACATCAGTATAAAACGTAAAAATGTTCTAACCTCTGTCAGTTTAGCACTATTTTGTTCAAAAGTGTTGGGAGCCGAAGGAGCTTCAGCAGGCCTTTGCGGTTTTCTCACAAGTTTTCCTCTCTCCTATTCATCCAACGTATCCTGTGTACGCTTCTCGAGCCAGTGGTGCTAGAGCCCAGACAAGTCTGGTACCAATTTTCCGACCTCGGAGGGATGGAAGGCTTGGTGGGCTACGGGCGCGGGAATCGATTCCATGTGTACTGCAGGGTGCCTCCGACCACTGCACCACACGCTCCCACGATCTCCAGTAGCCACTTCAACTTTCACTGCATTGGGAAACGATTGGAGAGTTTACGAACGGATGTGAACAACACTTAAATTTGATCGCGAGCAATTATGTCTTATTATAGAAATCGAAACGCGTATATAAACGAGCACTAGCTGTCTGTTATCTGAGCT